AAAATGGCTGCCACAGCTTACCTTCAGTCACACAGTGAAGATTCTTGCGCTGTGGTGGCAGCCGCTTCCATAGCAATGTGTTGTTGTTTTTTAAATCTGCGCAGCCAATCAGAAGCCCTGCTAGGCAAAAGCCCCACTCATTTCCCAAACACACTTGTCAGATGCCAGGAAAGGGGTCTGTGGTTGCCATGGCGTCAACAGGCGCCACATTGGGGACCCCTGTGCAAGCCTGTTGGTGGACCCAGAAATCTATATATCTAATTCTCAAGTGTGCCCCCTGTGTGCGGATGCTTAAATCCGCGCACCTGGGGGGGGGGAGATGTTTGTGCGGACATGGGGAGGTCCCCACGTCTGCACAAAAATCCGAAAACTTCAAAAAAAATCGGGGGGATACTTAAATCCCCCCGAAACTGACAGAGCGTCCCCTGCGCATGCGCAGGGAACGCTCTGCCGGCGCCCTCGCCGGCGCCTCAGACCTGGGGGCCAGTCATGCAGTCTCAGCCTAACATACCTCAAAGGGTTGTTGTGAGGATAAAATGGAGAAGGGGGTGTGATGTGTTAGCTATTTTGGGTCCCTGTTGAAAAGGTCTTACATTTTATACTATATTTGAGCACAGCTGGGTGAGTGTCTTCTAGAGAAATCATTTTTTTTGCTGGTATGTACAAAACACACAAAATAGGGAAATGAGTTGAAAAGCTGACTTGGATGAATTATGCAACAGGCAGTTAAAGGAGGGGAAATCCCAAAGAAACTGGAGAGGGGTAGAATGGAATTAGCAAATATACACACAATGGGATTTGTAGTACCCTGAGAAAGGAAAAGAGATATTTTTGGAACAATAGCTCGACTGACAGAGGTGTCAAATTGAATATTATTTTTGCAAAGTGCCAGTTTTACCACACCACATGCACAGGAAACACAGTATGCACGTGCCTGGATTATACAGAGATGGCTGGTGAGGGATATTTCAACAGCATCATGTGAAATCTAGCCTGTGGAAATGAGCCTTTCCAGTACCCCAGAAGTGTGGAAATTACCTCTGACTTGCCAGCAGCTTTTCTGCTCAGTTTTAGCTTGCTGCTTCATCGGGTTTGATAGTTCAACAAAACTCGCTATCTGAAACTAAGTTTATTTTTGGAACAGGAGGATTTCAAGCACAATCTGTTGGGGTAGCTACTCTCTAGAACAATCACATGTAGTGTGCCTTTAACACAGAATGGAGGCAAGCAGCCAGTGACTTCGTTTCCATGGTGAGAAAGGAAACTAAAATTGCAGGGTAGGAGAGAGAGAAACTGGAAGACATAAATCTTCTAGGTCTGCCTTTAAAGGTCTCCGCATTTCAGATCTGAAAACCCAGGGCAGACAACCACTAACCAATAAGCTCTCTGGAAATGTAAGTTTTTGCCCACTATTTCAGATTGTCAGGAGCCTGGGTCGAGATATTACCATGCTGAGGTGGAATCCAGGCAGGCCTCTCAAAACTGGTGGTGCCCACTGGGCCATACGTTTGCTGGGACTTGCTGCTCTACTCTCTTGCCTTTCTCTGTCGCCTTAACACACCAAATAGAAGGGCTTTTTTTCAGCCCAGATCATTACATTTGACCACATTATCATTCTTTTGCATTCTGCCTCTCTGCTTTAGGAGTCTGCCTGAAATGGAGGTCTCCCTATTGTATTGTTTGGCTGTCTGATTTATGTTACCTAGTTTTGCGTCCCAGCTGGAAATGCTTTTAGCTTTTGATGCATTTTTTAAAGTGTTTATGCTCCTGATTATTGTTCAATCCTATCCATTCCATTGCTTTAAGTATTTGGACCTGTTGGCTGCCTTGGAAACTTAATTTAAGACGCAACTAGATTTCATGAACAAAGCCACACAGACAAGGTAAATTCTGGTTGTAAAGAAGAATATCAAATAACAAATTGGTCCTTTCCGCACTACACTTTAAATCCTGGTTCAACCCTGTCCCCAAACATACATTCTACACTACATGTGAGTTCACTCCTTGTAATCATCTTGGACTATTTTGTGTTTCCACATTACATTGAGGTCACCCCAGTTTTGCCCCAGACTTGTCCCGGGATAAACGGATGCTGTTACAACCAGGGATAAATGCAAGCTATTGTGTTGCAAGTTGAACTCTGATAAAACCAGGGATGAGATCCGAGTGTTGAAAGGACCATTGACAGCCATCCCTTTTGGTGAGGCCCAAAATTTGCCTATCCTATGGAAGGCTTAGGTTGGAGGTGTCGAACTCATTTGTTATGAGGGCCGGATCTGACATAAATGTCACTCTTGGGCCAGGCTATGTGTGCCATAAAACGTAATGCCAGGTACTGGAGATACTAACTGTATAAAGGACAGCAGCTGGTAAGCTCCAAGTTGGTATAGTGTAGTGGTTTGGTGTAGTGGTCAAGTGCATGGCCTCTAATCTGGGAGAACCGGGTTTGATTCCCCACTCCTCCACTTGCACCTGCTGGATGACCTTGGGCAAGCCACAGTTCTGGCAAAGCTGTTCTTAAAAAAGAGCAGTTTCTGTCAAGAGCTCCCTCAGCCCCACCCACCTCACAGGGTGTCTGTTGTGGGGAGGGGAAGGGAAAAGAGTTTGTAAACCACTCTGAGACTCCCTTGGGTAGTGAAGGGAGGGGTATAAATCCAATCTCTTCTCTCTTCTTCTTATATCCTCACTGCAAGGCTTCGTGGGCTGGGAAGGAGGTGTAAAGGAAAGTCCCTATGGGTGGACCGGAAAGCCAGGAGGGCAGCCCTGGGTGCAGGCACTCCCACACTGCCCGACTGCTGCAGACAAGGTTATTCCGCCATGCTGAAGCCACAGAGTGGCTGTGCCCACTTCCACCTGAACACCGAGGCAGGAGTTGTGTGTCAATGACAAAGAAGGTACACTTATTTCCAGGTTGGTTTTAGAGAACGGATCGGCAGCACAGGTCTCCAGACAGTCAAAGGAGAAACCTGGCCGAGGGACATACATTTAAGCCGGTTACGGCTTCGGAGTGTGGTCTGAATTCTCTCTGGTGCTTTCGGGTGCAGCCACTAGGCTCTCCATTCTCTACTTAGCACAAAATTGACCTCACAGCAGCGAACCCCCAGGCCTTCACGCTTGCTACCCTAAGAAGGTCTTGTCACGGAGGGGAAGCTTTATCAACCTGGTCCCCCCCCTGAATCACAAGAGGCTATGTGGGTGGGTCCCCTCCGTTAACAGAAAGGGACTGGTCACAAGCACACTCCCCCAATCCCTTTCTGAGCCCCTATATCTAGGGTTGCCAGCTCTAGGTTGGGAAATACCTGGAGATTTGGGGGCTGGAGCCTAAAGGAGGCAGGGTTTGGGGAAAGGGAGGGACTCCAATGGGGTATAATTTCATAGAGACCACCTTCCAAAGAGCCCATTTCCTCCACTGGAACTGACCTCTGTCGCCTGGAGATAAGTTGTAACAGCAAATCTCCAGCCACTACCTGGAGGCTGGCAACCTGTAGTGTATCGAGCCCTGACAGGGCCGGGCATGCCTGGACTTGCCCAGGCACAAACACCTCAAGCTTCATGCCAAAAGACAATGGGCCAGTAGGATCCTAGCCAGGCCCAATGAAAGGGCTAGGTCCCAGGCCGTGAGGCCAATAGGTCTCTCGGTCACTGTAAATAGCCTATCGGGAGTGGGGTGTGTGTTTTGGTGGTGGGTTTTCAGTAGGAATATAAGCCGGCCTGCGAGCCGGCCTAGGTGTCTTGCTCCTGACTAATAAAAGTATGCTTAGCTGAAATCACTCTCCGTCTGCGTACTTTTCACAACCCTATGCTACAACCCTGGACAGCTTGCTGATTCTGCAGCGGCACACACCCACTATTCAGGCTTTTGAGATCATGGAAGCTGTGAGCACAGAGAGGAGAGAGGAATAATGCTTGCTGGCCCCTTTCCTAGACACGCACACAGACAGCCAAACATCTGTACAGGCATTGGGCAACAGAATGTGGAAACTTCTGCTTCAGAGATTTTACGAGAGGTCTGCCCTTTCTTGGGGCAGACCTTTGCTACGGATAGTCTTGGAAACTTAATTTAAGACGCAACTAGGGATTCTGTGAGGAGAAAGAGGCACTCCAGCAGAATGCTCAGCAGTTTCATCAAACTACAGTTCCCATAATTCTTTGGGGGAGCCCTGGCAGTTAACTTAGGTTGTTGGGTCGTCCCCCCCCCCTCCGAGACTGTTCCATAATCTAAGCCTCCCTCTGATTCTCTCCGGAACCAAAATCACCACGATTCCTTTATGTATTCTCCACCTCGCTAATTCCAGCTGGTAGAGCAATGTCAGCAAGTGGTGTATGGAGGGCTGCCGGCTCTGAGTTAAGGAATACCTGGATATTTTGGGGGTAGAGCCTGAGGGAGAGGGGTTTGGGGAGGGGAGGGACTCCAATGAGGTATAATGCCATAGAGTTCACCTTCCAAAACAGCTATTTTCTCCAGCTGAACTGACCTCTGTTGCCTGGGGACAGGCCCATAGCCAGGTTTTTTTTTTAATTCGGGGGGCCTTTCAATAAGTGGGGGGCACCCTGCACACACACCCCAATGGAGCGCCACAAATAAAATAAAGCAATGGAGGGGGCCTGGGCTGGATAAGAAGTCGGGGGGGTCTTGGTAGTAAGTTGTGGGGCCGGGCCCCGAGATGCCCCACTGTAGCTATGGGCCTGCATGGGGATCAGTCATAATAGCGGGATATCTCCAGTCACCACCTGGAGTTTGGCAAGCCAGGGTGTATGGGATTGTTAAAAAGATGAGAAATGAGTAGTTTTCTGCAACCTATCCCCGTTATACCTCCTCCAAATTTTCTATGCCTTGTAGAAGCTTAATAGCCTCCCTTTAGCGAAGGCTTCTTCCCCTTTAATCAGTGGTGAACTTTCCTTTCCTTGGCGAGTGCCTTGCCTGGCTTTAAATTCTGAAGCTCTGTTTATGTCTTTCCGCTTGCAGGCATTCGGCGGCACCAGGTTCCAGATCAGCAGACATGTCACGGGGACACTTGATGACCTGTCCTTGCTGGGACCCTTGGAAAATCGGATGTAAACGACTTAAAAGGGCCAAGCCGGGGACATTGTCTCAGATAACAAAGTAAATGGAAATTATTTGGATGGGGGAATGTTTGGGAGGGAAAGTGCTAAGAATGGTTTTTAATGTGTCATACACACTTGTGATACAGAGTGACAATTTAGTATATCCAATGGGGAAACGTGCTTTTTGTACGGCATGTGTGTGCTGTTGGGAAAATAGGCAAAAATACTTAAATACTCAGCGTTTGCAATGGATCTTTGCTTCACTGGAGACGAGACACTTCTTTCTATGAAAAAGCTTTATTTCTAAGGGAAGGGTTCACATGGAAAGCTACAAAACAAGAGATATCTAGAGCTAGGTTTTTACATCCTTACAGCACAGAATACATGGTCACACAACAATGGAGATTCTCCTACTTCTTGACTCCTAGAAGGAAATCACCTGAACACAGTAACCAATGATTGCTAGTAAACAGACTTAGATTTTCCTGGGCTATCTTCCCATTCCAGTTTCCCTTCCAGGCCAGTCTAAACAATAGCACAGAGGGTAAGACAGATTAACCCTATAATGACTGGAATCTAGACCTTGCAACCCATACATTCCCAACATGTGCCACTTCCCAGACTCCAAGTGACTTAAAACGAGAACATACCTAAAAAACATAAAACAGCCAAGCCAGTCAAAGAAATATCCTGTCAGGTGGTAGTGGAAAGTACCGCGAAGTAGTAGTGGTCATATGGCAAAAGATATTCGTAGTTGGTTTGCCATTGCTTGCCTCTGCATTGCAACCCTAGACTTCCTTTGTGGTCTCCCATCCAATTACCAATGGCTCCTAAGGAAATCAGGCTAGCCTGGGCCATCCAGATTAGGGTGTCCAGTTGGGCAGAGGTGTAGGACAAGTGACCAGTGAATGTGATTTATGAATGTGATTTCTGATTTTTTTTTTCTTGACAGGTAAAATGACAGCTGCCACTGTGCCTCATTAGGAGGCTAAAGTAAATTTATTTGCTTCTGCCTGAAACGAGGGAGTTTCCTGATGACATGCACACAGCTTAGCTCTTAGCAGACCTTCTGGGGCCAGATGTTCTGCTCTACACAGAAAGTTATTGTTTGAGAACACCGCGGCCCTTTCCTTCTCTTAGCTTCGCTTCTCAAACGTCCTTCAACTGAAGAACAAATAATTTCAAATATGCATTCCATTCCATTACTTTCTGACTCTTAAGACGTTGAAGACCTTTAGCCCTTAAAATAATACTCTAACTGCTTCCGTTCTACAACTGTCTAGGCTAAATATCAAAATCTAAATTCACTTTAATCAGACTCCTAATGAGGCACAGTGACAGCTGTCATTTTACCTGTCAGGAAAAAATAAATCAGAAATCACATTCATAAATCACATTCACCGGTCCCTTGTCCTACAGAGGTCAGGCCCCTAGCTACAGTGGGGCACCTCAGTGCCAGCCTCCCGCCCCCGACTTACTGCCCAGGCCTCCTGACTTCCCATCCAGCCGGTTTAATTTATTTTATTTTTTGCACACACCATGGCTGCGCCGAGCCATCACCCTGCCCTGCCCTGCCTGCCGGCAGTGTGCCTCTGGCTAGCTGCAGTGTGAACACACTGCCTACCGGCACCTTCGCCTCTTGCCTCTCTCTCGTCGCTTTTTGTTTTACTTTTATCTTCTCGTCGCTCCTGACACAATGCGCCCTCTAAGCCGTGGAGTCTTGTGAGCAAAAATTCTACTTTGTGGGCTACTGGCATTAAAGTTGTGAGTGAGCGATTTGGCTACAGCATAAATTACTGTGCTCTGGACGGAGCCATCCTTCCTGAGCAAAGGCGGCAATCTGTGAGTGTGAGCTGGAGGCTAAAAAAATGTGAGCTAGCTCTCACTAACTCAGCTTGGAGGGAACACTGGCCTGGGGGGGTGGCGGTGCCCCCTGACTTATTTAAATGCCCCTGAAGTCAAAAATCCTGGCTACGGCCCCGGTAGAGGTTCTAAAAGCTAAGTGAGAAAGGCTTTTCTGTAGTTCATGATCAAAGAAAGCCAAGAGGAGCTGTCCTCAGCTCTAAGAGGAAATTACTCCATGATAAATCATGATAGTGGTAGTGGAAAGTTCCATCAAGTCACAGCTGACTTGCAGTGACTCCGTAGTGTTTTCAAGGCAAGAGATGTCCAGAGGTGGTTTGCCATGGCCTGCCCCTGCACTGCAACCCTGGACTTTGTTGGAGGTCTCCCATCCAAATACTAACCACGGTCAACCCTGCTTAGCTTCCAAGATCTGATGAGATCAGGATAGCCTGGGCTGTCCAGGTTGGGGCAGTAGATCACGATAGACATAGATCACAAGATAGAACAGTCACAAGATAGAAGAGATCCCTGCGGACATTGTTGCATTACACTGAAACCTGTCACTGGAGAATTCCAGGAGGGCTCGCTGGTTCCCTGAATGCTGCCGGTTTGATCTGAATCCAGGCTGTAAAGCAGACATGGTCTTAAACCCTTGATGAATTCATATGATGCGAGTGGATTTCCATCAAGACTAGTTTAGCCCCAGAGTAATACAGAATTAAAGACTTAGACATTCCCCCAGGAGAACTTAAAGTGTTACGAAGGAGGCCTTGTCCCTTTGGTCGTCTCTGGTAAACAGACTTTGGCAGCATTTTGGTTGTGTTTTTTTTAAAATGCTTCCAAAAGGTGTTCAACTGGAGGAAGCAATGGAGACTAGGAAACCAGGTTTTTAAAAATATTTTCTCAAAAAAGTGGGATACAAAAGAGAAGAAGGGGTAGGGGAAAATATAGGTTCATCAAGTTTATAGATTCATCAAGTTACATACAACAAGTAAAATCAGATGTATTATCCAGTGTATTACATATTTCAAATATAGAAGCAGACAATAGAACATCAACAATAAAACATCAATATTACTTAAGTTTGGGATAGATTCTCTCTTTAAAAGAATAAACAAGAACTTTCCTAAAGTTCGCGATAATCTATTAACAAGAAAAGAGATTACATCACTAGGAACCTAGTTTTGAATTGCCCCTTAAACTCTATTGTCCTTCCTCATCAGTAGTAAGTAGGATTGTCAGCTCTGTGTTTGGAGTATCAGAAGATTTTGGGGGTGGAGCCAGAGGAGTGCATGCTTTGGGGAGGGGAGGGCCTTTAGCAGGGTATAAAGCCATAGACTCCACCCTCCAAAGCAGCCATTTTCTCCAGGGGAACTGATCTTGGTCATTGGGAGATCAATTGTAATAGCAGGAGATCTCCAGGTGCCACCTAGAGGTTGGCAACTCTTGCTAGTGATTGGCCCATAAGAGAATGGCACGCAGATTCAAGAATAGCCCCCCACATTGTAGGCCTTTTGATAAACATATGTCTAAGCAACTTTTTTTCCAACAAATAGGTCGTGGCCAATAGGTGCGGGAATGAAAGACCAAATGAAGTCCCAGGTTTGTCTAAAACTACCAACTTCGTCTAGGTAAGTGTTCCTACACAGAAGAACCTCACACTACCCTGTTTCTTTTTGGTGTCTTTGTGGTAGCTTTGTGCTGAAACGCACCAAACCTCCATCACCTCATCTGCTCTGGCCTGGAGCTGCCTCTGCCTTCATGTGGGATCCCAAACCCTGAATCCATCCTCATGAAACGGGTTTTTCTACATTGTCTTGTTCCAAAGTCAGCCCTTTTTGCCTTCATTCTACAGTGTTCTCATGGTAATCCTTCACTCCTCCAACTCTACTCATCTGCAGACCACGCCCTCTTAAAACATTCATTCTCCTGTGCTGCCCGTTATCTCCCAAATGTCCTCCCAGAACACCTGTGTGGCACTTCCTCTCTTCACAACTAAGGTTGCCAATTCCAGGCTGGGAAACTCCTGAAGATTTGGGGGTGGAGTTCGGGGAGGGAAGTTGGGTCGAATGCTATAGAATTCCTCCCCCAAAGCAGCCATTTTCTCCAGGGGGGTTGGTAGTCTGGAGATCAGTTGCAGGGCTCTTTTTGGGCAGGAACGCACAAGAACGGAGTTCCGGCTGGCTCCCGAGTTGGCCACGCCCAGCAGGAGCTCATTAGCATCATAGGCCACACCCCACAGCAGGAACTCATTAGGATTGGCTACATTAGGGGTGTGTGGCCTAACACGCAAAGGAGTTCCTGCTACAAAAAAAGGCCCTGGGTTTTGACAACAGACAAGGTAAGCAGAATAACAACCAAAAGGTGGGTGTGGCTGGATGACCACACTTCTGGTAACATGGGGGTGTGGCCTAATGTGATAATGAGCTGTGCTGTCAGCGGTGTGGCCCAATATGCTAATGCGTTCCTGCTGTTGGGTGTGGCCTATTATGCTAATGAGTTCCTGCTGGGCTTTTTCTACAAAAAGAGCCCTGAGTCAGTTGTAATTCCATGAACCCTCCAGGCCCCACCTGGAGGTTGGCAACTGTATGCATACCCCCATCCTCGCACTCACATGTTCTGTGATATCTTTGGCTTTACTCCTTAGAACCCATTCACATGCTACAAACTAGTTCTCATGGCTGCCCCGAGGACTTTCAATCACAGTCCTGGTTCAAATCGGAAGTTCCAACCAGGGATCAGCCAAGCATGTGGACTTTGTAATGTATGAATTGGCCCTTAGACTGAAGTTAGGCGAGGAGGAGGAGGAGGAGGAGACTGAATTTATACCCTGCCCTTCACTCGGAGTCTCAAAACAGTTTACAATCTCTTTTCCCTTCCTCTAGAACCGGGTTTGATTCCCCACTCCTCCACTTGCAGCTGCTGGATGACCTTGGGCAAGCCGTAGTTCTGACAAGAGCTGTCCTTGAAAGGGCAGTTCTTGAAAGAGGTCTCTCAGCCCCACCTGCCTCACAGGGTGTCTGCTGTGGGGAGAGAAAGGGAATGGCGCTTGTAAGCCGCTCTGAGACTCCGAGTGAAGGGTGGGGTATAAATCCAATCTCTTCTCTCCCCACAACAGATACCCTGTGATGTAGGTGGGGCTGAGGGAGCTCTGAGAGAACTGCTCTTGAGAGAGCAGCTCTGTGAGAACTGTGGCTGACCATAGGTCACCCA